TACTCCGGTTTCCCCCACAACACAAAAACATGTACAATAGGTTGCCTTCAGGCCCAGGCCGCTCTTGAAAAAGAGATCTGAGATCTCAATGGGATTTGCCTGGTAAAATAACGGTAAATAAAATAAAATAAAGCACCAGGTTGGCAGCACCTGGTTGGCAGCACCTGGAGGTACAGAAGCTCTAACAAGTGTTCACAGCAAAATAAAATGATGGCAGAGAAGATTTCAGACATTTTTCATACACACAACCCACACACTCAGCTCTACTGCTCACCCCACAGATGCATGTTCCTTACTAATGTGGCTCCAGTTAAAACATTAGATTAACAGGCTCTCTAATGGTATAAGATTTATCACCAAGTAACAACGACATCATCCATGGGGAAAATGCTGAAAACAGCTGCTCTCTGCTTCCATACAGAAATAAGGCTGTAAYACATCTCCAGATAGAAAAATAATTTAGGAGCAATAAATTCAAACATAAATTAACTCAGATAACTTCCTGAAGAAAACTAATTTTGTTTCGAGTCATTGATGATGTGAGCCTGCAGGCAGACAGCAGTCATTACTCTTCATTAATTATAAAACTATAATGGGGTTTTGGACACTTCTTATACCATATTTTAAATGTAAAGGTGCTTTATTGGTCATCAGTGTATGTTTCCACACAGTGATGCAGTTTGTGCTCTGTATTTAACCCATCCACACCCAGGTGGAGCAGCGGGCAGCCATGTGAGGCGCCCGGGGCAGTTAGGGTTAGGTGTCTTGCTCAAGGACACCACAACATGTGGGCATGGCGGGGAGTTGAACCTGAGACTTTTGGGCCCCAAGCRGGCTGCTCRACCACTACACCACAGCCGCCCATAATTAGACAGGATATTTGTTGATGATGACGTCATCTTTCAGTGTTGATGCATGTTGCTACAGGACAAACAGATGAAAGACGTAATGTAAATATTGTGGCCTAAAAGTCTGGATCTCAATTCGTTTGAAATTATCTGTTGTTAATTAAAGAAACTGGTCAGTGACTAATCTCCAACCTGCAAATCTGATCAGGCCACATTAATAAAAGACAGCTGGAACCAGACTGATGAAGAACACAGTTTTTTAATCCACATCTCAAGCTGCTGTAAAAACCAGAGTGGCACTGGTTTCCCTCAGGACTCCATTTTCTCCACTTCATCTAAAAACACCTCTGACCACAATTATCTTTATTGTGTTTTATAATATAATGT